TTTTTGAAAAAAAAAATTAAAAAGATCAGTTAGCTGAGTTTCTTCCCGTTACATGGATATAACACATTCATAGTTTTATTCAATATTAAGATTCCTTAGACGTTGTTTCCTGCAAATGACGCGTTTATCCGCCCGGTACCGGGGGGGAAGGTGTGAAACAGGTTAACACATGCATACTACTGTGTAATATATTGGTACATATATATTTAAGTAGTACAATATAAGAAAAGCACAAGTTTTCTTTGTGGGCCATATTTCATTATACTTTTTTTATTTGCTGAAGGCCGATTCAAAATGCCAAAAACGATTCGCATTTGACACCCCTGCTGTACATCAAAATGTTATCTCTCAACAATTTACAAGAATATAGATTTTCTTGTTTTGATTAAAGCAAGGTTAATAATTAGGGAAATATGAAGATGGTACATAAGGATTTCATTGTCCAACGGTTGATTTTTTTTGTATTATTCACCTTCCATGTTATACAAAGATTGAACGTTTGTGTTTTAAGTAGAAATTAATAACTTTTCTAATTGTGATTCTAATGAATTCCTCTTTTATCTTCACACAGGAACAGTTCATTTTTTACATGAACCCACCACTGTGTGTCACTACCCGATCCGTCCACTTGCCCGATCGGTACTGCGCATGTGCGAGATGGTCCGCCATATTGCACAACTCCGTACGGCAACCCAACTAGGACACTCACACACACCACACACATAATATATTTATTGTTGTGCCTTTTTATTTGCTCGTATTATGATGGGATATGGTTTAATTTAGTAAATGGTTGTGCGTTGTGTGTGAAAAATGTATATATCTAAAAAGTGTGTTGGTGTATGATCACATTTGTATATGAAAATGTCTGAAGTTAATAAATACATTCTCAGTGTTCAAGTCAATCACTGACGATGCTTACGATATCATAAAATCTAAGTGCTCCCATGTCATGCTTTTCCGGTTATTACCCGTCCCCTTGTGTGTTATGAAGGTTTTTATGCATGTAAACGGTGTGCAGAGTCAAAACCCTCAAAGTACACCCTGTAGCGAGTAAAACTCTAACACAGAAAATACCTCCCCAAAACGCCTCGTTGGAGATACGTCACTGCCCATTTGATTCTTCCGGGTACCGCCTGATGTCATGCGGTACCCGGAACGAAATGGACCAATCCCGAAGAGCCGTTACGTTACGTCCGCGGAGCCGTTACGTTAAGCCCCCGCTGATTGGTCCAAATTGACCGATCCACGGACTTCCTCACACACACATATCTGTGTGCAGGGAGCAGGCAGCTCAGCTGATTTCTCCTCCCTGGCTGCAGGCTGATAACAGACAGTTGGGAAATTCTCTCTGCAGACCCATTCTCACAGCGTTTATCAACCTTTTTCTTACTCAATATCAAGCCACACTTATTGTTTTTACTTCGGATGTGAGTTTGTGTGTGCTCAGGATGAGTTTGGCTGTGTTTCGCTATGTATCCTAAACAAGGAAGCAACACCTCCACGGAGCTCAGCGCGATTCACAACGTCCCGACCAATCAGAGCACACTGTGCTCACAGGGAGGGTGGGGGCTGGAGCTTTTGGAGCTACAACGAGCCGTTAAAGGCAAATAGTGAAATTCAGTGAATACAAGTAGTTTACAGAGATGCTGTATGAGAAACCAATGTGAGTTTGGAAAAATGCACAGTATAAATCTATTTTAGTAGACCTCAACAATGGAATTATGATCAGTGGAAATGGCCATGACACCTCTCCTTTAATAACCTGTTTCACACCTTCCCCCCGGTACCGGGCGGATAAACGCGTCATTTGCAGGAAACAACGTCTAAGGAATCTTAATATTGAATAAAACTATGAATGTGTTATATCCATGTAACGGGAAGAAACTCAGCTAACTGATCTTTTTAATTTTTTTTTTCAAAAAAAACCCACATTGCTAGCACTCAGCCTCTGAATTAGCCTCAAGCGAAAAAAACGTAACATACTAAGGCAACTAAACTCACTCTAACTCCCTTATTACTTATCCTAGATGCACAACCAACCACTCTTTTTTGGTGTCCTGGAGACACTGAATCTACCGGTGCCCTCCTCAACACTCAGTGATAAACATTCGCGACGCTCTAAACGAAAGCGTACATCATCACATGTGGAGCTAAGAAGCTAAACACGTAAATATGGCTTACCTTGGTCAAAAGTGGTCTTCAATGGCATTAAAACGATAAAAAAAACGATGCTGCAGTTAATCCATAGGTTCATCCTATGTGTCTGTGCCTTCTTTGAAATTATTTCTGATAATCCATAAGCAATACAACTGCGTTTTAGTTTCCAAACTCCAGAAGGAGACATTCCTCCAGTTTGGTTTCGTTTTCCACACGCGAAGCAACCACATTTTTTCTTTACAACGTGTCTGGGTGGGAGCCTCCCCCTTCGATTCTATTGGCTCTAACGGTCACAAGGGTATGTCAACCAACCAAATCGAGCAAGGGGGGCCAGAGATAGGTCAAATCCACCCAGATGGCCCAGTTTTTGGCTAAATCTCTCTAAAAAGGTCAAATTTCACTTGTCTTGCATCAATCTTGATACAGGGTACTTATTATATGTTGTACTTTGGATTCCTAAAGCTTTTAGTCTACTAACCCATCATCCAAGGGTAGTTTTCACTATCTGTAAAAAATAATTTTTGGACGGACACTATAATTTACAGTTTTTTACTATGTAAAATCTGAATTTTCTTTAAAATAAAAAACATTTATATTGATTCTGACACTTCTACATCCAACTCACAGGTTTATCATTACTTTGAGAACAAAGATTATTAATTTAACCCTTTTAGAAGGGAAGATATGGTCATTTGTTCTGGGAATGTCATTTTCGAGCCTGAGACCTGAAAAACAGGCTCAGAGTGGAACAGGTTAATAAGCCCACTTTTAAAATAAATTCAGTCAATTCATGTTGAAAACATTTTCTAACAAATCTTAGTTGATAAAAAAAAGCCCAATAACTTATTTCCATAACTAGCTTGAAATAGACCCTTCATATTTCCCCTTATTATAATCAATCTGAGGCTTCTGTTTTAAGGGGTGAGTTGCCAACAAGATAAATTAAAGAGAGCTGTGATGTAGGCTGTTTTTTTAAAAGCATACTCATGTATCAAGCCTAATTTATCTACATGGCTAACTTATAACTTAACTTACGAGGCAATATACCTCTATAAGTGGCCCAGCCCTTTGTATATTTTTCTGTATGTGGCCCTCGGTGAAAAGAGTTTGGACACCCCTGATGTATAAAAACACCCCTGATGTACAGTATAAAAACATTGTACTGTAGATGCTTCAGAATTGGTCAAACTATAAAATATACAATTATTCCAAATAGGAATAATATGGTATAAGTAGCAACAAGTACCCTTTAGTTTAAAAATGTGTTATAGTAGTAGTCAGATTATTGTAATGAATGATGCATGATTGTAAAACTGTTGCTTAATTAAGTCAAGCTTGTTTTCATTTGTGTCCTGCTGGATAGTTTCATCTAGAAAAATGCTTCATATTCTTCTGATTATCTTAGTTAGTAAAACTTGAAAATGTAATTTTACTGTCAAATAAATGTAGTAGAGCCAACTGTGCAATATTCTATCTTAAAGGGAGTAAAGTATGAATAGCAAGACAATAAAAGTAAAAGTACCTCTTACACTACAATACTTGAGATAATGTGTAATGTAACCTCTTACCCAGGTTTTCTGATAGCATTTTGCTTTGTCATGTATAAAAGAAAGGACTGGTATAAGGGTGGCTTGTTCACATATTGAGGTCACATGACAGTTGTTAAGGTCACATGACAGTTTGAGAGTCACGAGTCAATTTAGCCATATCTCATCAGGATCACACGTACTGTGACAGCATATATTTAAAGACCAAGTTTAGGGGCGGGATTAAAAACAGGATACTAGTCAAGGATATTACTAGCAGGATTTCTGTGTTACATTACATTTCATAATACAAATCTATATATTACAAAGCATATGAAAAACTTAAGTTCTAGTGAAACCATGGCTAATCTTCTAGTTCATCATTAATGCCTCTTGTTAAAAAAAAAGAAAAGTAAACTACATTTTGTGTATGCTTTTAATTCAAGTAATACAATTGATGTAATCCAAGAGTACCGGAATGTATTTATATATTGTGATACTTAGATTAGGTTACTGATTAAAACAAATTCCCAGGTATTTTGTGATGGTAAAGACATTTGGAGTAATTTACCAAGGATGATAATGAGGATTATTATTACAACTGTAGGGTCAGTTTACTCAAATTACAAAACACAAAAAGAGACGCTCCAAGTGGTACGGTATCTAACTATACAAAGCCAGGTAAAGATGTTTTCAAACCGTTGCCTATTAGGATTAGGAGGGGTTAGCAAAATATGTGTCATATACTGTAGACAGCACAGTCTGTATCCTTTTTTATGATGCTATAACAGTGGTTTTAAGCAATGATACTGCACAAAACCCATGATGTGCAATCTATGATGCCTGATTAAGACATCTAATCACAGATTTAACATGGTTGGTAAAATAACACCAAGCAAATGTCTCTGCAATACTCTAGTTCACTGATTGTTGCTGCAATGTGCAGTACTTTAAAAAGGTCTGGACATTTACAAGAGTCATTATGAAAAAGAAGATTGAAAAGGGCAGTAAAAGGATGGATGGGGAACAGTAGAAATTGCAGCCTATCAAGACAGTAAAAATAAAAATAAAATAATGTTGATCCAGGTGGAAAATCTAGGGCTATTTTGCCAAATACTGTTAAGATTAAAATTAACTCAAGAGATCCATTTGAATGTATAACGTCCCGTTTTTGTTGAGTAACCAACATGTTTTTTCAATGTCATTTAATCTGGCCAGTGGGTGTTATAAACGTAATAAAAAGTGTATTATCTGTTAGGTCAATAAAGAGCAGGGGGAAATTATAACAACCACAATAACAATAAAAGACAATAGTAACATTTAACTGTTGTTTAATTTGTGTACATACATTCCTTTAATACATTTTAAGCTTCATAAGAATAGAAAACTGTAAAACGTGCTGCACATAGAGCATTATCTGCATTATTCACATTCAGACAACAAATACATTGTATTTATATGCACATTTCATTCCAGACGTTGTGTCATATGGATATTTATAAATGACCTGACATAGTAAGAGATAACCTGATCATTAAAACACAAATCTGTGTAAAAATTGCTTAACACTGCTTTTGTATATGAGGTTTACTGTATGTACAAATAAGGCATTCACAGGTAGTGGGCGTACCTAACTAACAATCCCATTTATAAAGTAATCACAAATTCTTCAACAATCACAATATTTCTAATCTTCCTGCCCGTCCTAAATCAAACACTTATGCTCAAAATTGATTCTTAAGTCATGTTCAAAACAGGAAATACATAAAGAAAGTCTTAATATCACTTTATAGGGCCTTTAAGTATAGCGTGCAAAGTAAACTGCTCATGGCAACTTCAGTATTTTCACAGAGACCAACTCATTTATTACTAGTGGCAGATTATGATAAAACAGTCAAATGAACAGTCAAATTAATCAGTGAATTTGCTGAGGAGATATAATGTTTTGTATAAAATTGATACACTTTGAAACAAACATTTGTGCCTCGGACTGATGCAAATGTCCCAAAAAATGCTGAACTTTAACACAACCGCAGAGTCCAAAATGGACAAAGGTATCAGAGCTTTTTACCAGTTTGGCATCATCCATTTAATTTACCCTAACCCTCCTCTGTTGACATTTTTTTTGTTTAAGTTGATGATGGTACAATGCATTTCTCAAATAACTACAATGCTAATGTGATATGTCCCATAAGCTAATGAGTAAGCCAGGAGATGACCCTCAGATGAAATGATAAATACAATGGTTCAATCCAATAACATGTCAAAGGATTGCATTAGTAGTAACCATGCACTAAATCACCACCTATTTAACAAGGACTTTCTGGTGAAACCAACACGACTCTTTGTGTCGATTATAAGGGGCAATTTTATTTGGAATATATACATGTTATGTAATGTAAAGAATTATTGAAGGTCTACATTTGAACACAGATTGAATCTAAAGGACATGCCTAAAAGACCCTACTTGGTTTATGTTAGGCGTATAGAAACAAGCACTTAATTTGATCTAAGTTGCAATAAATCAAATTACAACAAACAAACTGACACATAAAATAATAAGCCTCAGGCTTTGGGGGGTAGTTTTGGAAGATTTTTTTAAAATACTTTTTTCTCACTGTTTATCAGGTGTTTATCCGTAACCTGTCCATGTCATGTGTAAACCAACACACTAAAGTGGATCAGAACTCACTTTCCTCCAGAATCTCCTCCATGGTCTCCCCATGCGTCATCTCTCCTTCACTACTGGACAGGCTTTTCCTGGTGAGGGTCAGAAAGTCCAGTCCTGTTGCGTCACAGCCCATCAGCCCCTGACCGTGAACCTCTCCAGGTCCATGCCTCCCACCTCTTCCTTTCACAGCCACCTGGAGCATGTGTGGATGGGTTGTGGAGGTGCCGCCGTCGTCGTAGGAGTCGCTCTGTCGCGAGCCCTGTGGGCGGCGCCCTCGAGTGCATTTCCACAGGTGCTTAAGTGGCACACTCTGGAAACAGCTCCTGACCTGGAAGTGGTTGGTGAAAAGGAAAAGCTGCCAGCGCTTCTTCAGTTCAGCTTGGACCTAAATGCCAGAATAAAGAAAAGGGATACATCTTGACCAGAGTTGGGTGTAACGCGTTACTGTAATAATATGACTTTTGTCGGTAACGGAGTAGTGTAACGCGTTACTTTTATAATTCAGTAATCACACTACAGTTACTAACATTGCCCCGACACGCGTTACTTCGTTACTTTTATAAAATCAGTCATAATCACACTGACAGACAAGAGGGGTTTCCGCCGCAGGTTTATATGTACGTAATCTGCGCGACTTGCACGTCCACATCTCAGCGTGCAGTGCTGCATAAACATGGCTGAGTCAGCGATAACTTTCGAGGGGTGGAGGTATGCCCATTATTTTGAGTTCGTCCGAAGAATAGACAGGAATGTGACGGTGAGGTGCAAACTGTGTCCAGGCCAGAAGCTGTTATCCACTGCTGTAAACACCACGTCAAACCTCAACAAACACCTGCAAAGAACACATGCTAAGGTGAAGCTAATAGCTAAGGACCGGACCCCCGAACCCAGAGTGAGGATGTTGTGAGTGCGCCGCCGCAAGAATTTGGAGGACCGGTAACCAAAGCAGAGATGGACAGGCTTTTAGCATCCTTCATAGTAGAGGTAATGTTGCCCAGTTGCACAGTGGAATCACCATCGCATCGTTCAGAGATATACTGCGCAAAATACAGATAGCAGGAGACAGAGGACAGCCATGGTCAGAGCTATCTGGATCAGTCTTATGCGACAATGGAAACTGAACTAAAGAGAACATTTGAAACTTTAGCAGTCTGCGTGATCTGCCTGTAGGGAGGGGCGGGCCGGCCCTGCGAGTAAAGTAACGAGTAAAGTAACGAGTAAAGTAACGAGTAAAGTAACTTTATGTAGAGTGTAACGAAGTAGTGTAATATATTACTTTTTTTTAAAGTAATATGTAATATATTACTTTTTTTTAGTAACGACCCCATCTCTGATCTTGACAACATAATCAATGAAGTCCACAATTTTTTCAAACTCTTGGCTAAAATCTGAAATGTGCTAAATGCTAACTACTTTAGTTTGGTACTTGGCAGGTGCACATTCATTGGTTTAATTAGAACTTTTTTGCTGAACATCAGACTCTTAAGCCACCAAATAAGTTCACTAGCTATAGTCTCTAACTCTGAAGAATGAGTTAGCTTCACTAACACAAAGTCAATTGTACCATTTCTAATATTGAAAGTACTAGTTGATGCAGCTTTAAAGTCTCAAACTAACAAGAAATGAATTGACATGAAACATCACTATACATACAGAAGACATGTACCTCTCCATTAGCAAAACAGTACAGCACAGCAACCAGAAAACCCTGAAAAAGGTCAAATAACAAATAAATGTAAATTGAGAACAACCTATTATGTCATGTATGTAATCAACTTCCCAGGTGTTACCTGAAAGGAGCTGAGGATGAGGTTGATGAAGTTCCTGGCGTAACGACTGCTGCCCTCAACACATTCGTCTATCAGCACAGTGAAGACCACCTCATGGATCCCCAGCAGAGGAATAAGTACCAGTGTTGCTCTGACCAAGCTGAAGGGAATGAACACAAATATACATATTACGGTGCGTAAGAGAATAGACTGTCCAAAGGATTCAAGGACATTATCTGTCATATGCAGAATAGCTATAGTGTACTTTTGGCAATGAAGATCTTGAGTCTCCTCCAACTTTTTTAAATGTAGTACAGACAAATGATAAGCATAAAGGACACAACAGTATGATGAGATAAAAATAGCATAACAATTAATAACAAAAGAGAAAACAGACCGTTAGGTTCGCAGAAAAGGTAGGACCCAAATGCAGACTACAAAAACGGAAAAAGGTCTAGAAACAAAAAGCGAGTTTATTTAAAAGCTGATGAACAAAACATGGCATGAATCGAAAACGGTAGCACAGGAAACAACACAAGAACTGACCGTGAGAAACATGGAGGAAGACCGGAGAGACAAACATGAAGCGTAACGTGAAGGGAAGACAAACAATGAACCGACAGGGGAACACAGGAAGAGACAAGACTAAATACAGAGAGGGGTAATCACGGGACGAGAAACAGCTGGGCAGGGGAGGTAGAAACACAAGGGCAACAGGTGAACACAATCAGACAATTGGAGGAAAAAACACAGGAAGGAAAACAAGAGACAGGGAGAACAGAGGCCTGTACTACGAAGCCGGATTTTCCTAACCTGGATATGTTTGAGTTAGCCGGTTGGCCCAATCCAAAACATACGCGCTCTCGCTAAACTGTACTACGACGCTGGATATTCTATTAATTTTCACGTTCACACAGTCAGTTGATTTTTGCCGGCCGTCTTTCCTGCAACGGCAGTTTTTCTGTATTTCCTCTATCCTGTAATATGACTTGATAGCTTTAAACTCCGCACACGGTGCTCTGATTGGTCAGCAGGCGGTGCTTTCACTGAGTTGATCTCTTAGCCTGCAACCTAACCTCCTCCCGAGGAGGTTAGCCGCTCAGCATAAGTTACCATGGAGATCTAGCCCGCTAAAAAGAGAATCAGCGTCGTAGGACCGGAAAGCCCGAGTTTTCCCTGAAGTCAGCCGGCTAAGCGAAAATCCGGCTTCGTAGTACAGGCCTCTGGACAGCAAAACAAAACCCATTACCAGACAGACAACACTAAAACCGTGACATAACACCAAGATCGTGACAGAACCCCCCCCTCAAGGGACGGATTCTAGACGTCCAATTTTTTTTCTCCAAAAGGGTGGGTGGAGGGGGTCCGGAGGACGGGTCTGGGTCGACAGCCCAGAGGCAAGGCATAGTTCATGGTGGGGGTCTCAGGCGGACGGCCCGGGGGCAAGGCAGAGTTCATGGTGGGGGTCTCGGGCGGACGGCCCGGGGGCAAGGCAGAGTTCGAAAAGTCAGGGGGCCGGGCTCGAGGGCGAAGACCACGGCTGGGGAACTCAGGAGGCTGGGCTCGAGGGCGAAGGCCGCGGGGGAACTCAGGAGGCCGGGCACAAGGTCAGGCAAGAAGGCGGCGACGGGATAGCTCCGGAGGACGACGTACGCCGCACGACGTACGCCGCAAGACGTACGCCGCAATGGGACCCCTCCAGTGTCAGCTGGATCGCCGGAGCACTGGGATCGAGAGCAGGAAATGGTGGGACCCCTGGCGGGACAGGCGTAGACGGGACTCTGGACGAAACATGGGCTGGTGTCAGTGGGACCCCCGACGGAGCAAGGGCTGGTGTCGACAGGACCCTCGGCGTAGCACATGTCGGCGGGACCCCCAACAGGACAGGATCTGGTGTTGGCAGGAAATCCGACGGAGCAGGTGTCGGAGGAACCCCCAACAGGACAGGATATGGTGTTGGCAGGAAACCCGGCGGAGCACGTGTCGGCGGGACCCCCAACAGGACAGGATCTGGTGTTGGCAGGAAATCCGGCGAAGCAGGTGTCGGCGGGACCCCCAACAGGACAGGATATGGTGTTGGCAGGAAACCCGGCGGAGCAGGTGTCGGCGGGACCCCCAACAGGACAGGATCAGGTGTTGGCAGGAAATCCGGTGGAACCCCCAACGAAACAGGACATGGAGTTGGCAGAACCCTCAGCGGAACCCCCAACGACACTGGACGTGGAGTTGGCAGGACCTTCAGCGGAACCCCCAACGACACAGGACATGGAGTTGGCAGGACCCTCAGCGGAACCCCCAACGCCACAGGACATGGAGTTGGCAGGACCCCCGACGAAACAGGTGTCGGCTGGACCTCCAAAGGCATAGGACATAGGGTTGGCAGGACCCCCGGCAGAACAGTAGTCGGCGGGACCCCCAACGAAACAGGACATGGGGTTGGCAGGACCCTCAGCGGAACCCCCAACGCCACAGGACATGGAGTTGGCAGGACCCCCAACGAAACAGGTGTTGGCTGGACCTCCAACGGCACAGGACATAGGGTTGGCAGGACCCCCGGCAGAACAGTAGTCGGCGGGACCCCCAACGAAACAGGACATGGGGTTGGCAGGACCCCCGGCAGAACAGTAGTCGGCGGGACCCCCAACAGAACAGGACATGGGGTTGGCAGGACCCCCGGCAGAACAGTAGTCGGCGGGACCCCCAACGGTACAGGACATAGAGTAGGGACTTGAGTAGGGACTTGAGTAGGGACTAGAGAAGGAACTTGAGATGGGACTTGAGAGGGAAATCGAGAGGGAACTTGAGAAGGAACTCGAGAGGAGACTCGAGAGGGGACTCGAGAAGAGACTCGAGAGGGGACCTGAGAAGGAACTTGAGAGGGGACTCGAGAGGAGACTCGAGAGGAGACTTGAGAGGAGACTTGAGAGAGGGCTTGAGAGGGGACTAGAGAAGGAACTTGAGAGGAGACTCGAGAGAGGACTCGAGAAGGGACTTGAGAGAGGGCTTGAGAGAGGACTCGAGAGGAGACTTGAAAGGTGACTTGAAAGGGGACTCGAGAAGAGACTCGAGAGGGGACCTGAGAAGGAACTCGAGAGGGGACTCGAGAGGAGACTCGAGAGGAGACTCGAGAGGTGACTTGAAAGGGGACTCGAGAGGGAACTTGAGAGGGGACTCGAGAGGTGACTTGAAAGGGGACTCGAGAGGGAACTTGAGAGGTGACTTGAGAGGGGACTCGAGAAGAGACTCGAGAGGGGACCTGAGAAGGAACTTGAGAGGGGACTCGAGAGGAGACTCGAGAGGAGACTTGAGAAGGAACTTGAGAGAGGGCTTGAGAGGGGACTAGAGAAGGAACTTGAGAGGAGACTTGAGACGGCCGGTACGCCGACAGAACACGGGGAGCTGGCGTCGGCCGGAGAGCCAACAGGAGACGAGGTGCTGGAGTCGGCCGGTACGCCGACAGGACACGGGGAGCTGGCGTCGGCCGGAGAGCCAACAGGTGACGAGGAGCCGGAGTCGAGACCATGGCTGTGTGGGCCGGTATTGGAGCCGGAAACATGGCTGTGTGGGCCGGTTCTGGAGCCGGAAACCTGGCTGTGTGGGCCGGTATTGAGCACGGTCTGGAATCTTGGTCTTGCGTCTCCTAGAGATTCTTTGGAGGATCCGTGGGCCTCCCAAGGCCTGGTCATACCCCAGGAAAGGGTTAGAGGCTTTGGACAAGTCCTCAGGACTACTTGTGAAAAGTTGTAGCCACTCAGGCAACATGCTCCTGAGCCAGGGCTTGTGAGCAACCTCCTGACGTGCCTCCTTCAACGCAGCCTCTCTACCCCGTTTAGATGAGGCGCCATTCCAAGTATAAAAAATGTATTCCAAAGAGTACCCAAAACGTTCCGCCTGTAAAGCTAACAAAGCAGAATCTGCTGGGTCCAAATCTGGTCGCTTCATTCTGGTAGGTTCGCGGAAAAGGTAGGACCCAAATGCAGACTACAAAAACGGAAAAAGGTCTAGAAACAAAAAGCGAGCTTCATTTAAAGGCTGATAAACAAAACATGGCATGAATCGAAAACGGTAGCACAGGAAACAACAACACAAGAAATGACCGTGAGAAACATGGAGGAAGACCGGAGAGACAAACATGAAGCGTAACGTGAAGGGAAGACAAACAATGAACCGACAGGGGAACACAGGAAGAGACAAGACTAAATACAGAGAGGGGTAATCACGGGACGAGAAACAGCTGGGCAGGGGAGGTAGAAACACAAGGGCAACAGGTGAACACAATCAGACAATTGGAGGAAAAAACACAGGAAGGAAAACAAGAGACAGGGAGAACAGGACAGCAAAACAAAACCCATTACCAGACAGACAACACTAAAACCGTGACATAACACCAAGATCGTGACACAGACCTAATAGGATCTATTAAACATTTAAAATAACTAGCCTGAACACATGATACAATATGATACGATATGATACGATATGATACGATATGAGACGACATGATACAATATGATACAATATGATACAATATAATAAGATAAACTTAACATATAATAGTGCAATAAAAGATTGCATGGACTAAAATGGTTTAGGACACATACATTACATGGATAATGTTCATAAAATGTGGCACATGATTCAAAGTGCAAAGGATAAAATGGAAGACAATGTAAAGCTTTGTAAAAGTATCCATTAGCCTTTCTCTCTTTTTTGCATGTGAAATGAGGCCAGAGTATAAAGGCGTGACAGTTGAACTTTGCAGTACAGTACATGGCATTAATTGACATTCTAACCAGGAAACAACCTAATGTAAGGTTTAAAGACACCGTTTAGGAAATAGAGCCATGGCTGGGACAATTACCTGTATCTGTAGTCTGTAAATTTCACCTGATCTGCTTTCAGCTTGGACAGCAGCAGCATCAGAATCTTGATGAATATGAAAAAGATTACCTGCAACACACATCCAGGGTAGATTTACATTAAATACATGTGACAAAACTACTTACAAGACTAATAAATGTAGTCGCTCAATGTGAATGTGTAACTCCAAGAAATTAGTAATCAGTCATGCTTGACATTACAACAGCTTCTATATCACGTGCCCTCACAAGACAGGAAGCATTAAATGCAGTGTGAAATTAGAGTGACATTTACTTAATAGCTGGCACAAAAAGGAACTCACAGGAACAACATGATGGATGTGTAACTAATGAGAACATAATGTACTGTGCTTCTTAGAAAAAGCAAATCAAGGATTGTTTCTAACACTTACCAGTACTGATAATGTAATTGGTCCCTTTATTATCCACCAGAACCATCTGTTCACAATTGACCAGCATCTTGGGAATAAAAGAAGTTTAACAAGTCAAGTAATGAAGAGCTTTTTAAATCATGAATTTTGTAAATGTATTGTGATAATTGTGATGATGGGTAATGAAACACTCACTCTGTGTTTTCATAAATAATCTTGATAACGGTCCATGGTGTTACGAACAAAATAGGTGTTCCTGAAAAGTTACAAATGCAAAAGATGCATTGTGTTTAAAGACACACACATATCCTTGTCTTTGTGGTGTTGTGGGGGTACCAGACCATAACAGACCTTTTGGGGACCCCCCTTTCTTAAGCTTGTAAATACTTTTAAAACCTCAGCTGGTATCCTCGAGTGAATGTTAACAGAGATGTCACATCAAAAATATCAATCAGACAAAGTGGAGGACTAGAAAGAGCTTCCTAGGTCCATTTCAGGTTTTTAGTTATGTGAGGTCCACACTATCTGTTTTTGTTTGTAGGTTGGGTCACTTTACTTACACACTTTTCTACACACACAGAAACACACCCAGATGCAGGTACACATAATAGAATACAAACAAAATGATGAAAACAATTAATTCATGGTTTACCCCATCCTAGCAGCATGTATTTCTTCAAGAGACGTCTCTTGGTCAGTACAGCTGTAAAGAGGAGTGTGTGGAGGAAAACGGCCTCCACCAGCAGCCAGAAGTAGTTACAGGCCACAAAGTATTCCATGCACACTTTGGAGAACTTACACATCAACGCTATCTGTTGAGAAATATTATAGATTAGTGTTCAAAATAGTTTTACTGATTCAAACTGCTTTGGTTTGTTCATTTTTTACTGTAAATATTGGCTACAGCTACAACTGAAGTATCTGCTTATATATGAATAATAAGGCAGTGCTTTTAATACCGCAGAGCTTGAGTAGGAGTTCCACCCGGGGTCGTCCTTGGGTAGCTTGGAATACATGATGTATAATGTGATTTCCTTAGAGATGACGGCCATGGCTCTCAGGATGAATGACACAAACAGATTCATGTGAATGTAGTTCCTGGTACAGTGGAGCTTCCTGGTAAGCAGATACAGTAGCAATTTGAGGAATGCATTGATCCATACTCCCTTTGCTGTAACAGAATTACTGAGGGCATATTTCATAGAAATGCTTCCTGTTTATTATAATGTCATTTATAAGGATTGATTATTCTCATATCTCTGTGCCACCCTTTCTAGTGGGTTATCGTTGTGCATTTCATCAGTATGTTAAAGCTAGTGGATATAACCCATGTCTTATTTATTGTTTATCAGGACTTGCCTTTACCACCTTTTATATATTAAAATGTATTGTTTTGAACTGTTAAATCTTTCCTGTGGAGTTTCTGATGACTGATAGCACTAAGTGTCCCCACACCTTTAGTTTGTTTATCTTGTTTTGCTTATAATGAACTCTCCTGTCATTTCACATCATGCCTCCTTCTTGGCCTTAAAATCAACTCATTCCCCTAACATGGTTTCCCCAAGCCCATCTCCTCACCTGCAAATCATTCCTCCATCAACCCCACAGCATATATATTAGTTCACTTTCACTTGTTCCATGTCTTGTACTGCTAAGCTCTGCAGCGTACATTTGTTCTTAGTCTGTTTATCTGCCTGTTTTTGACCCTGCCTGTCCCTATTATTCTGCCTGGTCCTTCTTGGACATGTTTGCTTGTTGGATTGATTGATCTCCCGGGTTTTAACCTACACAGGTAGGTTCAAACCCGGGAGATCAATCAATCCTGACAAAGTACTTTGAACTTTCTGAACATTCTGCCTGTTTCAGTGTCATGCGTTTTGGCTCTAGTATGCCTGTATCAGTAAACTTTACACTAAGACGCTTGTTGGGGTAAGGTTTTAAAAAAGTGGCTGCCTGTTCTTTTAGTAATGGTTAAAAGACTGTATTTGCATAGATGTCTTACTGCCTTTAAATCCTTCAAAGGGCTTTTACATATACAAGTCAGCATTCACCCATTCAAACGTATTTGTCGCTTTGATGATATTTTTATGATGTCCATGTTTTTTGTTATATTAGGCATTATTATATTATAAATTATGTGTTCTGTCAATGTTGGTTGTGGATGTTTGATATTCTTATAAGCAAATTCCCCTAGGGGCTAAAATATATCATTCATTCATTACCCCTCTAGTCCCGAGCACTGACCTCAGCACGCCCATCAGGAGAGTCGCCAGGGTGAGAGAGGACAGGGACAGGGAGTAGCCAATCACAGAGATGAGCCTGAGGGCTGTCTGCCGAACCATTTCTTCCTCCTGGACACACACACACACACACACACACACACACACACACACACACACACACACACACACACACACACACACAGACACAGACACAGACACAGACACACACACACACACACACACACACACACACACACACACACACACACACACACACACACACACACACACACAAGGAAATATGGAGAGAATAACAACACCTCTTCAGCATTTTAAGCTATCATTTGCTATACTTGGAGGGAGCAGACACTTTGTATTTTACTTCCTCTTCCTCACCTTGTCTTTGAAGTATATGTCGTCCTTACAATTTGACTCATCCCTCCAGGGCTCGGAGGAATTCTCCCTCCGTCGCCATCTCCCATTTTCCAAACATTCTCGGTATGCCCTCCTTGAGGTGTCTGCAGGTAATTAAAAAACACAATGGTATGCATGGTTTCTTTCTATTTGTCCTGTGTTGGAGCTTTTGAGTTGTTTTGACCTCATTATAGACAGGGGTTCCATCACTTTTCAAAGAGCCATTTACAATGACCTTTTTCTTTACTAGAAAAAGTAAAAAACTAATGTGAACTAACTGTATTAAAATATGTCTGTACGATTATGGACAAAATAATAACTTTGATTATTGTGATCAATATTGAGGTCATGATTATTTATCACTTTTGTTCTTTGGTGTAATTGACATACATTATTTATTGCATTTTCACATTTAAATGAAAAGAGCACTCCTTTCACTACATATTGTGATAAATCACAGGAATGATTACAGAATTGGATATAAAATCTGTAATCTATAATTATAATTCCCAAATTGAATAGGTATGGTCTCTTCTTGTGTCATTATTTCAAACATCATTGTGGTAAAAAAAGAGATAATTGCAGAAGGCCTGACTCACTATGTTTTTATTTATTTGTTTTACTTTTTTGTATCTCATGGTAGGACAGCCTGCACAGAACATGGTGTACTAAAGTAATTACAATTTTAAAATGATTTGATCCGTAAGGTAAAGAAGTGTCTGCTGTGTTGAGTGTGGCTAAAAACAAAACTGCAGCTGACCTATGGTAGACTGCTCATTGACATTTAAAGCATAACTGTGCATTGATTACACATTCAACTGCACAAAGACTTCCTGTGAGAAACCTCACAGTTTGTGTTGTGATTCAGCCAGTGATTGATTCACTTATAATAATGAATTATCAAAGGAAGTCAAAAATAGTAAAAGGAGCCATTCACGAAATAAGCTTCAATGACATTTATTTATAACGTGTGACCTTATACAGTAGTTGCTATAGAACATTACCCTCGTTGATCCATGGTAAGTAAGAAGGACAGGGGACCGACACATTCCCCGGAGAAGAGTGGGGCCAACACACAAAAGTGTCAAACGTTCCTTTACAGTAGATTCCTGTAAAAAGAGAATATTCAAGTATTCATTAAAGTAATAACAATCAAGGAGACACTAACAATATAGCAGCATCTCACCAGCTTCTGAGGGTGCGCTTGTTGTAAGAGTTCTGTTGCAGTTCTCCCAGTATTCATTCCGTTGGGCTATCAGACTCTCAAGCACTGAACCTGTTACCTGCATGTGGATTAAAAAGTGAAAAAGGTTAATATGAACATTACATTTAAGAGAATACTAGCATTAGTGTACAGCATGGGTTCGATTCAAATCAAATATTTGGAAAGATCAGTACATTTCACTTTTAACTGCAACATTTAGGTTGCATTTTCTGTAATTCTTCCTGTGTTTCTTTTGTATTTAAATAGCAATTAATATTGCAGTAATATAATGTAATGACTTATTTGATCTACTTGTGATAGAGCCCTGAGCAGGTTTTAGGACACATGGAAGTGAAAGCAGTGCTCAGTTTATTTAGTGTGAAAGGGCAATTCAAATATTTGATCACTCACCCCAAAATTGAGGAAAATAAGCAAGCATAATGTGCAACGAGGCGGTCATCAATGTAAAATGAACACCCGGTAGATTGATCATGTAGCAGGTTGCGAAGCATTGCGGTTTGTTAGTGAGTATTAACAAACTCTGAAATGTCCAAAATATGTCAAAATTGGCCAATCTTTCAGAATCGATGGTGATACGTTTGTTAATCATTTTAGCCTTAACAGGATTACAGTATATGTGTAATCAGTGAGTACACGTAGTTTCTTAGAATAATACACTGCCCCCCCCCCAACACAGAATCCCCCAAATAACAAATCACAAATAAACCTGTTTACGACTACAATGAATCATACAAGAAAGTGATCATTTAAAGTTAGTAAAGTGAGCATTTTACATTGTTTTCTAATTCTCCCCAGAGATGATTATGTATAGCACTTTAGAAAGAATATATCACAGCATACCCCCCCCCCCCCTACGGATGCCTCTCCTCTGTGTTTTTGTCACTGTTAGCTGCCTTAGGTAATGGCTCAATAGATCTGCTGTTTGGTGCTTTGCTAGCTCAATCAAAAGAGGCTAAAAGGCTCAGGTGCTGAGCTGGATGATATTTCCCTGAAGGTTCATTACTATAAGGAACCTATTAAACATTACACAAAGTAATGTGTTTCAATTTAATTCGATTTAATTTGTTAAGTTTTAGGTTTGTTTGTTGTCCAGAGTCTTGACCACCTACTTATTTATCAGACATTTGCATATGAAGTGCCTTGGAAACAAAGGGAATGTGATACTTCACAGAGGCTTAGATTGATTTAATTAAGATACATGTGAGTCATTTGAGACACATATCAACAGATGCTGAAAAACCCTTGATCGAAAGAAAGGAAATCTTCGGGTCTAATAAGCTAATAAAGTATCCATCATTTTAAGACTGAGCTCATGACGATGTAATGATTCTGAATGGCATAACATCATAATTACCTATACATAAATCTCAACAAAAACTGGTTTAATAATATACAATGGGTTGAATAAATGAAATGTAATATCATATTTTAGAGTAAACCAATTCCATTGCATTTAAAGCCTCTGAATGGATGAGCAGTGGATGTTGCAGTATTAGTATTTACCCACTTGGTGGGAGTATTCAATAAGCACCAATTACACAGTAGACATTTCCCCCTGTGTGCATGGATACAGGCAATTAATCAATATGGCTGGGTGCATTAGTGAAACATAACCCTCTATTTATTCTTAATTTAAGTCTGTCTTACTAAAGGTTATTATATTTTATAGCTATAATTTAATACCAAAATTAGGATTCTTCCTTAATTTGCTGTCATTTCTGAAACAAACCTCATTTTGTTATGTTTAAGAAAAGAAACTCCAGGCTACAGCCTTCCTCTCATTTATACATCAGTGTCAGGACCGGGGACAGCAGTTTATATATTGGGTAAACACTCCCAATCTTCAAATCTCTGTCCGTTTGGCACATCAGCCACCTGTGTCACAAAGATTTCTCTTCTACGCCGTCTTTCATTCGGTGAGCCTCGTCTTGTCAGGACTGTCTAAGCGTCACCACACCTGTCTTCTGTGTTAAATACTAAACCTGCTTCAAATCAGGTAGCAGACTCTGAATAATTAATTAGCTGTATAAAATTGAAGATAAAAGTTAAGTGTTCTATGATTTAATTTTCCTATCCATTACGTTTCTTTGCTACATTATTTTATCCCTTGAGAAAAAAAACCTCTAATTTGATTTCCAAAACACAGTTGTTTTTCAAGCACGTCACTAAACTGACACTTTCAGACACCGACTTCACATGTGAGCGAAGGGACCTCCTGTAACCTGAACCAATTATGTAAAAGGACCAATAAAAAAGAATGCACTTATCCTGAGTTATCTGTCATTAGGGTCTTTGCTCTGTTTCATGAGAAATGTTATGTTGTCTAATACAATAAATCAGAAGAAGAATGTTTTTGTGGAGCCAAGTTCCGTTGAAATATTTAAAATAAAAATGTATTGAAGTTAAGGAACTTTTGCAACATGTCAAACAGCACCAGGTCAAACCGGGCCTCACTAGATAAATCCAAAGACAAATGAGTAATGAATGTTAGTTCATTGAAAGGCATTATTAGTGTATGCAGTGTATACATACTGTATACATACTGTATATGCTGGATTGGGAGGGTAGCTTTCAAAATCTCAGTAACACAATATAAAAACATGTAACCTTATTACTTTCCGTTACTTTTGTATTACCTCAATATCAAATGCACTGTCGATAAATAAAAGATAAAATAAATATCAATAAGATGTTTTTTACTTAAGTCTAATTATGTAAGACAACAGAACAATATGGCCATGGAAAATAAAACAAAATATTTTCATTATCGAAAATGTGTCTTCTTAAATTATAGGCTAGACTTTAAAAAGTATAGTTTACAATACTGTTGTAGTTTAAAACATGATTTAAGGGCAAACACAGTATTTTTGTCTCAGGTGACCTCCTAGAGCTTTTAATAAAAAATATATTTTGAATGAAGAAAAATGAAAGAAGCCTAAATGAAAACCAAAATTAAGCTCAGGCATTACTTCTACATTGATCTTTATTTTTAATTGTATTGTAACGTTGTTATTCTGCCAGTAATCCCCTTTTCCCCCAAATATATCAGTAATCTGATTACGTCTTTTTGATGTAACTGTAAGGTAATACAGTTATCTTTTCTTGGGTATCCTGATGACGTCATCCTGTTACATATATTCCATTGCTCCCCAAGTCTGTTTATGTGTACATGTGCAATGACTGTATTATGTGTATAAATTGAGTATTATTTACCTGGTGGATGAAGAAAACAAAGAATAATGTGAGCAGGAGGGTGTGTCTTGCTGTGGTCCGGGTCCTCTTGTGCCAGGTTGGCAGGAGCATGGTGCTGGGGGTTCACATTGAAAGCAGGTTTCTGGTTCCTCACTTGGTTTGCCTCCTCATACCTCCCCCATACCCTTGCAAGGCCTCTCACTCATCCTACTCTTATCCCTCACTAAGTCCACTCAGCTCGGCTCTATTTGCCTCGCGACACCAGGTAGCTGCAGAATATTCAGAATTTGTTGGACGAATTTGGCAAGGACAGAAATTCTTCTTCTCCAGAATGTGATGCTTGTTGTAGTTGGTATTCCACAATTTCGTCTCAATGTTTTCCAAAGCTTATTGATGGTTCTTTCTATACTTTTCCAAAAAGTTTCTTCCTTATGATTGTTATTTTTTGGTAGGTTATTCCACAGTAGGTGAAGAAGTCCTAGTCCCCCTTTCCCTGAAGACCTCTTCTCCTATGAAGGAGGTGGATCCGCAAGTACTCCCTATAGACACGGCATAACTGAGAGCGCCTGTGGAGCCTCACGGAGAGATACCCTCTCCCGCCCCATCCTCCCTCAACCAATCAAGATAAGGCGAACGGCAGCCACATAACTAACTTTGTTATCGAAGAAAGCTGATCACCCAGGAGCAAATGGACACACTGGCTAGGACCAACACTACAAACTACAATACAACATTTGTTTTATTCAATATCCTAATACAAGTGCACATACAAGTACACATACAACCACACACACACACACACACACACACACACACACACACACACACACACACACACACAAATACAGAGCAAATACCACCTGTACTATAGACAGAGGGGGGAGACGCTGGCCCCTCCCTTCTGTTTAGATATCTCACACAGTAACTGAGCATCACCCAGCTTTTTTGACACTAATGGGAACCCAGTGTAAACTATCAGCACCTAATCCAAACACAGGCCGGCAAAGGGGAGAGCAGAAGCCAAGGCTGCCTGCATAAGCCTTATGCACGAGGCCTGTCTCACTACATATTTCAGGGAAGGCATTGAAGTGTGGAAAGGATAACAGCATTATTACTTGATTGTATATTTTATTCGTTTTTAAAGCAGCATCATTCTTTTTGTTGGCCAAGTGTGGTGTTGAAAGAAGCAGATATAAGATATTAGCACCATGAAAAGTTGATAAGGCTAACATAAGAAAACATGAAGACCTACAGCAAAGACAAGCAACCTGTACATATACATTAAAGATGCCCTATTTTATCTTTCTTGAAGTTCGTTCTATAGGTTTTTTAGCATGTCAATGGTCTGCAAAGGCTTAAGCCCTAAAGCTCCCTCCAGAGGGAGTTTCTCTCACACACAGACGCACGCAAAGCCTACATTGGACTCCTTTGTTTACTTCCTAACATAGTGACATCACTATGTAACACTTTGTATGTTCTATTGGTTAACATTCAACATTTTTTATGTGAGGGGCGGGACATCTCTAAGTGGTTGACCAATCACAACAGAGCCGGCCAGCTAACCAATCAGAGCAGACTGCGCTCTGGTTTCAGACAGAGGGTGAAAAGAGGTGCTGCAGCACAAGCAGTATGAGAAAAATAAAGAGCTTTTTGAACATTAAAGCATGGAGACATGTCACAGGAGAGACACTACATATGAATATGAACCTGAACATTAGCATAATAAGGCCCCTTTGTAAGTCCAATAAAACCAAAGATCACCTAAAGGTAAATATGTAACTCTTTAGTTGCTAATAGCTTCTCTATGTTCACCAGATACTAGCATATGCAAAACCAAATTGATAAGGGCGACATTTGCTAGCCCAAAACTACAAAAACGTTGCTTGCAGAAACACCAAAGTATAAGCTCAAAGAGGATAAAAGGGATAGTGAAAGTGATAATTGATTCATCATTACAAGCAACATATTCATTTCATAATCATGTCATCATATTGCGACTTTTGTATAAGGGGAACACATCATGACACATTACATTAAAATAATCTAGCAATGAAAAACTTAACAGCAGCCAATATTTACTATATTTCATATCTTTAACTCCACATTAATTATTATGATTGCCAATGACATAAGGGATTGGGCATGATTACGTCAAGACAAAAGCAGCATGCAATATGAAGAGGCAGGTAAAATGAAAACACATTTTTCGAAACTGAAGGAGCAAACCCGAGGGAATTGTTTTCATAATATAGCTTTCAAATGTCCCTGTGGTATGGATGTGACAGAATCCATTGCAGAGAATATATATAGAATGTGATTGTGTTTCAGACCTCATAGTGGGCAAGCCATACCATTATGTGTGACTGTGATGTAAGAATAAAAGGTTGGAATTAAATTTGTCCAGCTCAATAAGCATTATAATGTAAAGTTTTGACAGGGCAATACATTGCGTGTCTAACTAATATACTGTACAGTAGGCTAAAGATGAGAAGAGAGAAAAATACTTATATAAAAAATTGTCATTGTACGTTATAACAAAATATATATTTGAAGGGCAGTAAAGCAGTTTGAGGAAGATATGGCCTCAGGGTGTATGGATTCTCCTTTGGAGCTAGACAGGAAGGAAAGCGGCTGAAAAGGCTGTCGAGGAGATAATGTAAGAATACGAGTGTACCCAATTGATACTGACATAATGGTTTTGATGGTCAAAGCCTCCCCCTAAGTTCTTGCTCTGTTGGTTAAAGTTATATTGATCAGTATCTTATTCATCAGATTATAGATGGGAAACACAGAAGCTAACAGCTCAATCATAGGTGATTGGAAGTCGATGCATTTGAACAGTCATCTTGAGAGCTACAGACAATAGCGCTAGCCCTATAGCGCAGACAATAACAGATCTCACCAGATCTGCAGTTCCTCTCAGCTCTGTAGAGTGTTTTAGCAGATTTAATATCACTGTTTTGGGTTTGTCTTACCGCTTGTTTCCAGACGCAACAGTTGTCAGTAGATAATGTCCCTAAAAATCCACTGTATACCACCTACTCAGCACAAAACAGCAAAAAGATACGTAGCAACTTACTAGCTCAGAGGGAATAATTTAACTTAACTCAAAAGACATACAGTATATTTCTCATAAGAATTGTTGGAGACTCAAACAATTCAAATTGGACATAGTGGACATAAACTACAAAATTGCTAATGTAGCTAAAATGTTAGCAATTCAAGTTAAATGAAATGATACAGTTTCATGAAATATTAATAAAATATATAAGATGTTGATTATATATTTAAAATAATTAGCTTGAGTAGCAAAAAAGGAACGCCGTTTTAAATTAGTTTTACCCTCAGTTTGACCATGAGTTTTTCCATCAGCTTTTAAAATACTTTCATATACACTCTTTAGTACTAACAGAACTAAGAGATTGTTTGTAAAGCCCACTGCTTTGAAATGCTAAGTTTATCAGACATTTCATACCTTTACAATAAATCGTATAAATGGAATTCATAAGTCACATCAGCATTTTGACATAAGTTGCATCTTTGGGAAGGGCTATGATAGCAACAGCAATTCTTTTTATAAAAAAATATAAATAATACAGTATATGGTTTTTGGATGAATGCATAGTGTTATGTTATTTCACAGCAACTAAATTAGATACTAAATTAAGATCTGATTTTAATACGATTGTATAGTGTTGGCTAGAGAATTAGATTCCACTGCAATGGTTGCAATTGACACATTAACCTAAACTGGGTTGAGATCAGGTTCCCAAAGTGGATTAGGCAATGACATGGCTATTTATTTCTACTCATAAATAATTTTGTTCTACCGTGTCAAGAGCAGACCTTATCAATGACTAGGTGTCACTAAAATGTTCATCTGGTTTGGATAAGATGTACTGGACAAAATAATTCATTTTCATTTTTAATGTTCAATCAGCTACATTGTAGATTTGTTTTATTTCTCAAATTAAAGTAAAGAAATCCAGTACCACTAGTAATGTCTGTAAAAAGATCCTGTGTTTTGTCTGACGGATATATTTGATTTACATAACATTTTAACTGCGCAGTCTCATACAATTCTGAGACATTAATCTATACTTATAGTAAGGTGTCTTTTTATGAAATGAAATGCACACTTGACCTGTTTTAAATCTAGATTATTTACTACATGAGTAGCACAAGAAGAAAAACTAATCCCACATCATTTATTTAATACCATACAGCATTTAATTCTCAAGTATCAAGTATGATATCTGGGTTAGGATGTATATACGTGATTGTTACCAGAGATAAACACACGAACTAGGCAACAGAACAAAACAAGAACCCAGAACTAAAGTTCCTTTTATGTCCTTGTTGTAGAAAGAGGAGCATATGACTGATTGATTTCTTTTGTTTAAACCTACATGGTTGGTTAAATCATACGCAGTCTTAAATGCTCTTAGAAGCCATCAATATTAATACCTTTTTTTTTGTGTGTGGCTGAAAACATGGTCCATGAGTGCATTGAATAAACACTGTACCGTTGAGGGCTGTAAAACCAAAAGAAGGGTTAGACACTAGAACTAGGGGAATGTTGAGGGAACTACAGTATGTACATAGGTGAGTTAGGGTTAGGGTAAGGGTTGGGGTTAACCCTCTCCCAGGGAATAACATTTTGATAATCAATCAATCTTGATTTTGATATGTCATCAGTCAATCAAAATGTAACCCAATGGCACAAACTACACATGTGTGTGTTTACAGGGTGTACAGCATATGCCACACTCTGTCCTTAGACCCTCACAAACTCCCAAAGAAACCCCTCCAAAAAGGAATACCTCTCCTAGGACGGACAGACATGCAATTGATGTTTTTTTTTTTTAATATACTGCCTTGTCTTGTTTATGTTTCTTATGCTGGTGTTATGTATTGTGTATCTTGTTTTTTGTGTGTTTGTACGGCGACCTTGAGAGCCTTGAAAGGCGCCTATATAAAATAAATGAATTATTATTATTATTATTATTATTATTATTGTTTGTATGGATTAAAAAATAGATATACAGTAGACAATCCAAATGACAAAAATTATAATGTGAACATTTATAAAAAAGATGGGTCCAGGAGGAAAAGTCTCTTAGGTGCAAAAATAATAACGTTGGCGCCAAAGACAAACACGGTTAATGATCCCGACGTAACCCTTAATACTGGCAAACTGCCAGGTGAGCGACGTCCACCTCCTATTAAATCAATTTACAAAAGCCCAGAATGAATAATGACACTTGGAATGAACTGAATTGATGTGTCCAAGTGTGCTAATGCTAAATAGCGCCCGTTAATCTTCAGTTTTCAGATGGTTTCACTTTGTTATATATAATTTAGGATATTCAGAGAATTCTAGGGGTCACTGTCGTGTTATGTCATCCAGCTTGATTAACTACTGTTTCCCAGAACATGTTTTGACAAGCCACACAGGAGGATTATAAATGTTTTGTTTTCAATTATAGATGGATATATGAGCTCATTAATAAAGTCATC